CGACTGCGCATCCACCGGATTGCTTCACCTTGTATACTTCCACCATGGTCTCGCTGCACGTTCGTGCTTGCGCATCCCCTCCACTCACTTTCTTGTCACGTGATGCTAGCATGATCTGAACTCGGTGCGCCGCGTTACTAGCGCATCCGCTTGCAATAGTTACTAGGCGGTAACGACCTGCCATTTAGCATTTATTCATGGAACCGCGAGAGTATATTATTAATGCAATAGATGGCTGTAGCCATCTCTCAATGTTACCGACATCTTTCCGTATTTCCAACAAAGTTTATATGCGAACCTACGTTTTGGCTCTATGGTACCGTTGATATGCGTAAGAATGGGAATATGATCACTGCCTCTCAAATCTTCACAATGGTTAATAGTGCTGATTACGGCCAATTGCGGTGAAGCAACGGTAAGATCAATGGTAGAGCTCGAGTTCTGGGCTAAATTGTAGTAGGTGGGCAATTCGTTATTTAAAAGGACATGGTTAATTTCCATTACTGCCGAAGCGATGTACTCTCCAATCTTGTCTCTGCGCTTGTCATTCCAGTCTGTATAATGCGCATTGAAGTCTCCTACTAACAAGGAGTATTTGAATTGTGCTGCGCATTCAAATAAGTCCTCGAAAAAAGACGAAGGCGTGTCTTGACCATGCGTATGGCGATATAAATTTCATATAAACAGCTCCTGGCCCAGGAATGGCACTGTAATAGCAATAAGTTTTACTGAAAGGTGGACAATATTCGCCAGATTGCACACAGTAAAGGGAAGATTGTTTTTGATTAACGTACAGACTCCTCTTAAACCAGCGGTATCCGCATCAGATCTTATGCAATTAAAACCCTTGATCGAAAGACTTTTATCAGACGTTAGCAATATCTCTTGTAAACATATTATTTCATAATCCTTGACGAATGAGACGATTTTCTTCATTTTTCCGGATAAACCTCTACAATTCCACTGTAGGACTTTAGTAGAAGCTTCTGCATTCATTGTTGAGGCGAGGTACTGCAAGAACAAAGAGTGAGGACGACTTAACTCTTTCACAGTTGAAAGAAGTAGCCAAGTGTGTACCTCCGCAAGATGCATTTTCTGGCTGAGTCCTTGCTGGGACAATCTACTCCTTCGTCATGCTTGGATCCACCACAATAGATACAGCGAGGATTGCCTCTACAGGCTTTGCTTATATGACCCACTCTGTAACATGTATAACAAATTTTAACTTTTGGGACAAAAGGATGAACTACGTGTTTAACTTTAAAGAGGTAGACACATCCTGGAAGATGTTGTCCTGAGAATTTAACACAAACAGACCGTGAGGGCTCATATTTGTAAGTGTCGCCGTCTTTAACCCTGCGGTTGAGCCTATGCATCTCGATAATTTGACTAGAAGATTCTACACATTCCATAAGCGTTTCCACAGAGAAAGACTGTAGTATGTCTCTAATCATGCCCGTTTTAAGCGTTTTATAGGTAGGAACGAATGCTTTTAACTTTTAACCTGTAGCTGGCAAGAGTGCCATCATCTATCAGTTTATTGGCTGCTTCCGCGCTATTGAGAAAAACTTGCACGTGCCCTTTACCGATTTGTTTAACTTCTTTGAGCCCGTTTCCGCAGATTTGAGTGACAGCGCGCTCAATCATGAGAGGATGCATATCGGCAGTATTGCCGTCAGAACTGTCAGCATTATTATTAATCGATCGCACGTGAACAATAAATGGTTGCTTATCGCTAGGTGCATACCTTGAGTTAATCAGCCTGCGTATCGTAGACAATGGCAATGAGGAATTCAGCTTTTTTTTGGCGTCATTTATGTCTGATACCTCAGCTCTGAAATTTTTAAGAACCGGCCCATCTGAAATGGAGTCACTATCCTTTTACCTTCTTGAATCACTTACCGGACTAGAGGGGGATGCCCCGGTCCCAGATTGCGCATCGGGCAAAACGACAAGATCGTCTTTTACTTCATCCACTTCCATATTATCTACCTGCGTTTTGGTTATTTCGTGCCGCTCATTATGGACGGATTCATGATGGCGGGACTTGCGTGTTTCGCGAAAATAACATTATCGTCCCTAATAGCTTGGTTCACGTGCGTGTTTACGGGTTTGGCTTTATGCTTTGATTGATCCTTTGATTTGCTAGAACGGGAAGAAGAGCGTGAACGCCGATTTGAGGACGAAAGCGAACGGGTGCGAGAGCGATTAGACGCAATATTTTTTGCGCAGTTAGCGGAAGAGGAAGGACGAGGGAACACACCTGCGGCCCCCCTTTTCCCAGTATCCTTGCAAGAGGCCGCAGCCTCTTGCATCCCCCACGTGCATTATTTATTATGCAGTGCTATATATCCGCGCACGTTAGTAACAAGAAAAGTTTACAACACAAGAACCTAATGACTGTACTTAACTAACTATCCAATAATCGGCAACGCAAGAAAAAACACTCGAGCACTGCACAAAAGCAAAGAACAATACGTCTGTACGTTTCGACTGCCTGCGCGCGAATCAAGGGCCTCGGATTGGCCTGTCCTCGAGTTCTCCTATTGGCTGCCGCGGACCGGCACCGCTGTCGGGAAGTTTGGCGGTAGGTCCAAAGTTAGCGGGGAGACTGTGGTAAATCGCTTACAGTAATCACGACGATTAACATAGATACTAAATTTTTATCAAATTTTACGGGAGACCAGTGGCAACTTTCTGTCTGTATAGATACATGCCTGCTTGTGCAGATACTCCATTGAAATAATTATATTTATTCCTAAAAATTTTTATTAATATTGATTTCTACGGTTGACAGATACTTATCATATTTGTTTTCTTATTATCTCGATCGTTATGGAGGTCCTAGGGTTGAATAGGCGCAAAACGTTTGCAGAATATTCATAAAATATTCTTGAAATATGCATAACATATTGTAGATACTTCAAGAAAATCACGAAATATTCTATAAATATTGCAGAAAAATTTATAAAAAGTTTTTATTGATGTTTTCCAGAATATTTATATAATGTTCTAAAATATTCTTTAAATATTCCTAGAATAGTTAGAATGTTTTCAATATTTTTCCTAAAATGTTTATAGATTATTTAAAAAATATTCTACTAATATGTGAAAAATATTCTATTAATATTCTGATTATTTCATGTTCATCGTAATGTTTACAGATTATTATCGAAATATTCATAGCAATTCTAGAAAAGTTTCTCAGAATATTCATAGCACATGCTATAAATGTTTAAGAATATTAACAAAATGTTCTGTAAATATTCCAAATATTCTATATATGTCAAAATATTTATAGAACATTCTATGCATTTTTTAAATGTACTAGACACTACAGACGCGCGCTACGCGCGCGCTATTTATCTTTAACATTTCACTATTAACCCTATTATACACAACTGTCAAAATATACAATGACAGCTGCAAATGAAGTAAGCGCAGCAAGAAAACCAATCGGCATCGCGGAAAAGCGACAACAATAAACTTCACATCTCCTTTTTAGAAAAGGACTACATTTATTATAATGTTTGTAGAATATTCTGTGCATATATGATGTCTTTGTCACCAAGGCTGACAAAGGACAAATAACGGTGATCATGGATAGGTTTGACTATATTAATCGTATGACAGAGGTATTAAGTGACGCCTCCACTTATAAGAAGGTGGATAAGAATCCCATTAAACAGATCACAACTAAGATTAACCAACTCGTGAAGTCGTGGCATGACAATGACATCATTGATTATCAAATCTTCAAACAGTTACATTGTACGAATGGAAATCTTCCTCGTTGTTACGGCCTGCCGAAGATACACAAAACCGGGTTTCCTATGCGTGTCATTGTGTCAGCAATAGGCAGTCCCCTCTATAATGTCGCGCGCTTTATACATGAGATTTTGCATAACTCTATCCCCAAACCACGATCTCATGTAAGGGATGGTTGGTCGTTTGTAAAAGGAATTACGAATGTGAGGATTGACTCTGACGAAGTCCTTGTGTCTCTTGATGTCACAGCATTGTTCACCAACATCCCGAACGAGTTGGTGTATGAGTCGGTGAGAAAAAGATGGCATTATATCTCACAAAATACTGAGCTCAGTTTGTCCCAGTTCCTCCATGTCATAGAATTGATTTTACATTCCACTAGCTTTTGTTTCGATGGCCAGTTCTATGAGCAGATCTATGGTAGTCCCATGGGATCTCCCCTCTCTCCAATATTGGCTGATATGGTCATGGAGGATCTTGAGACTCACTGTTTAAGTTTATTGGACTTCGATGTTCGTATCTACCTTCGCTATGTAGATGACATTTTTACCATAGTGCCGAAACGAGCTATAAATGCTTTATTGGAAGCGTTCAATAGTTACCACCCACGGTTGCGTTTCACCTACGAAATTGAAACTGATAATTCGCTGCCGTTTCTAGATACTATTGTGATCAGGGACGGTGGTGAGTTAATCACTAATTGGTATAGGAAACCAACTTTCTCGGGGAGATACATTAATTACTTTTCTAACCATCCACTTAAATATAAAATCAACAGCATAAGTAACTTAGTGGATCATGCTATCTTGTTGTCAGACGAGCGTTTCCATCACGCCAACATTAATATTATTAAAGATATCCTTGTGGATAATAGCTTCCCGATTAAGTTGGTTAATAAGCATATTAACAATAGATTGCGACAATTAGAGAATAGAAGGGACTTGAGCGCTAACAATTCCGAACGCGACAGCACGTTTGACGCACGCAGATGTGTGGTGATCCCTTACGTGAAGGGCTTAAGCGCGGGCATATACGGGGTACTCTTGAGAAAGTCCGCTGTGACGTAGTATATAAGATACCGAAAAAACTCAGTGCTGTCATCAGGAGAGGCAAGGACAGATTAGCGACTAACAAGGAAACTAATGTAGTTTACAAAATTGATTGCGAGAATTGCGACGCGTCCTACATTGGCCAGACGAAGAGACATCTTGAAACAAGAGTGAAGGAACATTTCAGCGATATCAAAAAACATGACAGCAATTTCTCTGTCGTGAGTAAACACCGGATACAGAATGACCATAATTTTAAGTGGTCAGATCCGAAAATATTACACAAAGAACCTCACTGGAAAATGAGAGAGATCGCTAAGATGTTCTTTATAAAGAAAAATAAGAACACGATTTATTTAAAAAAAGATACGGAGAATTTAAACTCGATATACGACAGTGTCATCATGTCTGTTTAAATGTTTATATTTATACCTCGGGACACCTTGTTTCTTTCTTTGTCCGCTCAGTCTCCCAAGCACTCGCATACATGTAACATGTCGCAACGAAGAATCTGTCATACGCGAAAATTTATCACGGAATTCGTAAGTTTTTCTTGATCGTCGCTTTCTCTCCTCATATCATTGTTGCTACAAATTAAGATTGGTCCACAGCTGACCTTTCTGGCCATGCGGGAACATGCTCGTGAACTCAGGAATCTGTATTAATTATGTGACGAGTCAATAGATGATATAGGTATTGCTCACTATTTAACGTCGTTAATTTAATATTTATCTCGATAATGATTATCTCGAAAAGGGCTCGAATCTTGAGCCGAAACGTCGTGCATCTTTGTACATATTGCCAGTTAATCGAGAAATAAATTGAATTTACTGATTTTATTCACTGGCGGACGAAATTATTACCGTTATTCTGTGCATATATTTCGAATAGACAAAATTTCATGGAATATTTATAGAATTTTTACAGAATATTCTGAATGACCAGTGGAATATTAAAATATTTATAGATTGTTTATAGCACATTTCTTGCATATTTCATGCTGTATGGGTAGCGTAGTTTGGACATTATGTCATGCTAATCAATAATTTTGTGAGCCCCATATACACTTGATAATAGGACCAAAATCTATAGTTAAAACGTTGTGAAATATACCTTACCAATAAATGTGGCCAGTTGGGTCGATCAAATAGCTATCTACGTAATATTGGAATATCCGAAACAGGAGAGAGATGGTGTATAACGTAGATATTGATTGGTACAGCTCTTTCTCTGCATTCTGCAGCACTGCGTAATACACACGTATACGTGCGTAACTCACCTGTAACGCGCCTGGCTCCGTACCACGTTGCATTTGACCACATTTAATATTAATTAGGATATTAACTTGGAAAATTCTTGTAAAATTTACAAAGAATTTTTATCGAAATTGTCTCTTCAAGTTTTGTTTATATATATATACATATTTTGCAAGAATCAAAGTACTATATTTTTAGTATCAAAATACTGTATGTAATATTATATATAAGTTTTTTTAAGTATTTTAAATTTTTTAATCAGTTTTGTTTAGATTCTTAGATGACTTTTGTTTTAATTTCTCTTTAATATTTATGTATTGATTTTTTTTACGCTTATGGCAGATTCCATTTTCCTATTGTATTTTTTGAAAGTAAAAAGGTGAAAATTTTATATTATACAATATAAAGAGTGGTTACTTTATTTTTTTGTCTCATTTTTTTTAATAGTTAAAGCACAATGTATATTTTAAAGTTTATTTAGCATATTTGATAAATATTGATTAGTTTTTGAGAAAAAAATTAAAACACACTTTTTTGAGAAATGACCCAAGGTGCCCCATGCCCGGGGCACCATGAGTCTGTCACTGGGGTACTATGGGTCACACACAAAAACTAGATTTATTCATTCAAGAAGTAACGAAATGTTATAAAAGTTGAAAATATATTTTATTTTATACATTTTTTATTACATTCACTGAGAGAAATTGAAGTAGTTGGGCAACTATTTTTTTGGCAACTCTGCAGTTTAACTACTTGTAACTAGTTTTCCAAAGTAATAGGAACTAAATAGTACTGAATACTATAAAAATATAGTCACAGAAACAATATTTGTCAACTATTAGTTGATAGTTAAATAGCGCTTCAACTATAATTATTATAGTTATATAGACTCCATAAAACAAGATATGACAATAACATTTTTCAAGTTTAAACAATTCCTTGACTTATTGTTTAGACAAATATTTTTTTGTTGTGTAGCATACTTCCAGAAGCCAATGCGGTGCGGGCGGCAGCGCTGCGAGAGAGTTCGGCTCGCGCCCGCTACGCGGCGCATCGCCAGTATACTTTTGCATGTTTAAAATTTCAACATCGATTCCTATAACTAGGGTCGCTCAGCAGGGTTTTTCCAGCAATCCTTCTAAGGTTCGCCAGTCAGGGTGTGTTCACCCACACATATATTAATCAATTTTGGATTATAAATCTGTATGATATATGTGGCGGCTCACGCCACCAGTAATACTCGCCCGCGCGGTAACTGTAAAGTCGGCAGTTTGCATCGACGCCGCTAGGCGTCGCATCGCCCGTACATTCTCTCGAGTTCAAAATTCCGCACCGACCTGTATATAAGGAGACCTCCTACGGGACCAAAGCAGATATTTTCAGGCGCTATGTAGTCGCCTAGGTATATTAATTATAAAATTCTTTTTTACGTTAAAATTCTTATTTTTCATGTAGTGATTTTTCACTTAATGTTTACTTTTAAGTCTTTTAAGGCTGATCTACAATGTGCTCTTTGCTTTCTGTTTTTTGCTCTTAACCTCTTTGCGACTATCTTGTATTTCGCAATTCCGTCGCGTAAGGGCCTAAGCAGAATGGCTATCTTGGCAGTGTTTTATGCCTTAAGTCTTCGTCTTATGTAACACACAATACTGTACAGTATTGATATCAATACTGTACAGTATTGTGCGTTAGGTCCTAAGCAGAAAGGCTGTCTTGGCAGGGTTTTATGCCTTTTAAGTCTTTGTTTTATGTAACGCACAATGCTGTACAGTAGTGTGCGTTACATAAGACACAGACTTAAGGCATAAAACACTGCCAAGATAGCCATTCTGCTTAAGCCCTAACGTGATCTTTCTTGTCTCTTCTGAAGTTCGTCAATTTTTATCTTAGGCGACAGAGAACAAAAAACATCGCGTTACGCGACGCAATTGCAAAATAGTCGGGATAGTCGCAAACAGGTTAAGAGCAAAAAACAGGAAGCAAAGAGCACATTGTAGATCAGGCTTTAGTTTAACAAATAAGAAATTATTCTTTATTAAACAACTCTAAAAATTATGTTGATATCACTACAATGATATTATTCATGTTACTACAACATACTTTTTGCATACACAATATATTTTTCGTTAATGCCACTACTTTCTTGTAGTTTATATAATTTATTTATTGTTGTTATTACAACTATATTATACATAGTTGAGGCGCTATTTATCCACAAATTTCTAGTCGTTTTAACCGCAAAAAATTCTAGTTGTTGGTACAAATTTTTTCTCTGAGTGTTGTTCAGGATTTTACAGGACAGACAAAGATATCCGAACTACCTACTATTAAAATATTATTTTCTGGAAGGAAAACTTATTTCTGACATGTTTTCTTTGATCAAAAATAACATTTTACAAACAAAAGACATAAATGTTCATTTTTTTTTACTAACAAAACAAATGTTTATACTCTTTTACAAACAAAAAACATAAACGTTTATACTTTTTATCTAATTCATTAATAACTCTCTTTATTAATAACTGTAAGGACGTCTTTTTACATTTTTGGTTTTCTCTTCCGTGTCTTATTTTCCTTTTCTTCTTGTTTTTTCTTTTTTTTATTAAGCTTTTTTCTCCGGAGAATCAGTCAAAATATTGCTGCTACCCTGCTGTCTATGTTTTCTAATTCCATACTGATGTATTGTCTTTGGATAGGCTCTAATTTCTACGGAACTTTTAAACTGGCCTGGGCACCTTATCAGCTACTTTTTTTTTTATGCCGTTGACTGTAAATTTTCATCTATTAATGGCGTGCATAATGCCGGTGCCCCGAATGCACTTAATATAGAAAACGGTAAACGTAATTAACAAAATAAATAATACATGATTATTTATAGTGTTATAAAATTACAAAAGAAAGCTAGAAAGTTGGACCTGAGTTTCAGTACATGTATATTCTACTACAAAACCAATATTAAAACTTTTTTAATCAGTTAAAAAGGTTACTTACGTATCACGAAAATCATTTATGTCACGTGCGTCTCGAGACAACGGACTTTGATCACTACCATGATACGAAATACCTAGATACGAAATATGGGCAATGAAGTAACTGTCACATGATACTAGTTATATCAACCTAAACATTCTAGATCCTAAACAGTCAATGACCCATGGTACTCCGTGGCTCATGGTGCCCCGGTTTCCCCTACATACGTATGAATCCGTACAGAAAAAAAAGAAGTGTCAAATCAACACTGATATACTTGTGTATACGCAAGAAAATATATAATCTTGAAATGAGGTTATATTGCGTCAAACGAAGGAAACTTGCTTGAAGGAAGTCAATACAATTAAACGAAGTTTTATATATGATTTAATCAAGAAAAAAGTTGGAATAAAAAGTTGAAATTTTTATAAAAAGATTATATATTCTTGCGTACCTATCGTACAAGTATGTATATCAGTATTGCTTTTTGACACTTCTTTTTTCTGTGGATCAACTTTCAACTTTACATTAACTGGTGAGATAGTATAACGATGATATTATATTAAACTAGAATCCGCATTATTACAAATCCAATTAGCATCTGTTAAAAAACTCAGTGCTATTTATTTCCTAATATGTTGCTCTATATTCTCAATTTAGTTGCTCAAATCGCTTAGCAGGTAATTCAAAGTGAAAAGGCAAGACAGTTTGACATTACTGGCTCGCTCCATACTGAAAAAACATATAGAATAGGCCAATGTCAACATACCCTCCCCCCTCTTCTCTTCCATCTCTCCCATTTGAATGCAATTTCTTACTAAACGGTTTAAACAACAAAAGTAGAAGCATAGCAATAAATTAGTACACAAATAAAATTAATTTTTCAATACAAGCAAACTTGATTTCAAATGATCAGAGATCCAACTTCTTGTGTTAGAGTCAACCTTACATATATCTCTACAGACAAATATCTCTTTCTGCTTCTATTTAATATA